TATATATATATATATTCAACACGTAACCAATGACATAGCACTGACAAATTCGCCACATGAGAAGAAACGTGGAAAAGGTTTGAATGCAAATAAGCGAATAAGAGTCTTGCAACAGGTGCTTCAATGACACCGATTTAGGGCAATGTCAGCTGCTGTCTCTTGCCATAGATTTTCGCCATTCTTAGGACCCAGAGAGACCCATAGCTGTCAGTTTTAAAACTCACATCCTCATCCCTCAATTCCAAGTTATTCGCTGTCCACTGCGCAGCCGCTTCTAGTTAGCTCAAGCACAAGAATTACGAGAAAATAGAGTGTGACGATCTTCACCGCTAAACCATACCAACCTTAAAGTCGACCCAGTGAAACAGGAATTTTCAGAGTACATAGTCTGTCAATGGAGCAAGGGTAGATATTAGAGGTGAAAGGAAGGATTGAACCTTATGGTCATACTGACGTCCTATTCGGTTATGGGATTAACGACCAAATCCATGGGGCTCAAAATAACGAATTCCGTACGCCTCCAGTGTGAAGTATGGCATTGAGCCGGAAGACTGGTTGGCTATCACCAGATATGGTGATGCTGACAGGTTCGAACGTGGAACCTAAGGATCCGGAGCATAAAAACGACTTAAACCGTTTGACGACCAATACCAAAGTGGAGAACATTCATTGCTGCGAGTGGTTCTTAAAGAAAGGATAAAAGGGGAAAGGTGCGAAACCTTGAACAACAGACTTAGTCGAGTAAGCCAAGATGTTATTTTGTTTGGCCCCACACGACGCCCTGTGTCCAAGACTGGAAATAGTAAGCTGAATGCCACGACCTTCAGAAATCTCTTCGTTTACACTATTCACTTAAATCAAATCCATGCCTGGATTTCATTAAGAAATTTCGTAAAAACTAAAAGTAACGAGAGTGCAGGTGTTTGTGTCTGTGCACGCTCATCAAAGGTGTAACATCAGTGTCACGTGAGCACCGATCAGTAAGAGGTGTGAAAAGGCAATCACCTGGGATCACACTTACTTTGGGTCGTAACTTCCATCTGGAGAGAATATGTCACCCTCCTGAGACTCGTTTACACGTATGCGACGGATGGAACCAGCTATACAAAACGAGGTGCAAACAATAAGAGGTATAAAGGCGCGTACAAAGATGAGATTTCGTGGAGTTGTTTCTAATAATTGAATGGACAAGAGAGAACATGGAAACCCACTATAAAAAAACATGGCCAAAGAAGACAAATAACTTTTTTCAGTTTCACGCAATATCCTACGCACAATCCATTAGGAGACAGTAACCTGACGTATAATGTGCTGAAGAATGAGCTTCTTGCAGGTGTACTCAAACACAGAGGGAGTAGCAAGTGAATGCCTACATCTTGGCGCTGTACTACGAAATATCTCCATGATTTCTGCTAAAAAAATTTCCCATGTTCCGTGTGATAGTTGTCATGTGCAGTTTTTCACTTAATGCGCAAGAAAAAGTTAAGCAACACAATACAATTAAGCGTTTTTAAAGAATCTTAAGGAATTCTGACTGGCAGAATGTGCAAATGTGATAGATTTGTCCAGTGCCTCTGAGAAATCTCAGGTAGTTTCACTTAAGCAGTCGATGCTTCATCTCAGCATACGTGCCAAACAGCTGCAGTCCTGATGCACAAAAAGATGTTATGCGAAGAACCCAAAGAACTCAGTAAGTAAGCGATCACATGGCTCAATACAAAAAGGAAGGTCCTACTTGACCAGATCCGTTGAGTCTGATCACGCGTGCGACTTTATGCATCTTGTGCTTCGACTCGCTGGCCGCAGTCTTACACTGAAATAGAGACAAGCGAACTTCAATGGTTGCTACAAAGCGATTTTCTGTTCATTGTTCTGTTCGATGGTGCGGTGAATATCTGCCTATCGTTTGGCCTTTAGCCCCATTCACCCAATAGGGTTGATGGAAAATGTCCTAATAAGGCAAAAGTCGTTCTGAAGGTCGACTGATTTCTATGAGGAAACGAAATCAGCCAATAGGAATTCACCCTAGGTGGTGGTGCAGTGGTTTAGTCGCTGTCACCGGCGTGCTTTGGACCCTATGGCTCGAGTTCCAAGCCCCGTCACCCCCACCCAACTTTGGTGGTAGGCAGCTTTGCTGTCGTCCGGTTCAATACTATGCCTAACCTATCGGGACCTTATGTGGTTCATCACTCCAAGTCCCGGGGCTTAGGTTACCGGTTTCCATCACAAAACGGCAGGTCCTTGTGACTATGGGGTTTACCCCGTAATGCAGTTATACGCCATTGTATACAACTTTCGTGCTGATTTTATTGGATTCTGATATTAGGGTATCAGTGTTTGAAGAGTTGAACTGGACGTTCAGAAGGGTTATTTCACGAGACAACAAAGCGGACGGAAAAGCACCTTTTGTTTTCAGTAGCTCCGCAGGCGTCGGGGTTAGCTATCTTGAGGAAACCCTAGGTTCAGTTTTAGTTCTAAATCTGAGGATTTCCACTTCCGTTTCTACAACCATTAAGCATGCACTTTAGTGCGCCGGTTTTGGATACTATCGTTTGGCTAACCACTCGGATAAAAGAGCATAAAACATTGGAATGCTGACAGTATAATCAAACAGAAGATAGGGAATATATAAAGACAGAGGTTGCAAGAATAACGAGTAAGGGCACCAGTGATACTCAGCCATATCACTCAGAGTCTCTAACCACTGATTACCATGATCTTGAGGTTCCCATCCAGGGAGCCCAACAAGACCAATGTGACCGAGCCTCCTGGTTAGGGTTTTCATATCCTTATGCCAGGTATCAGTTTGACTCCCTTGAGCTTCTTCCACCCACTACCTGCCCCGGCAAACATCGTGGTCACCTATTAGGAGATATACGCAACATATGTTCCAATCACCGTAGCCTATGGAGGTCGACCATTTGCTCTAGTGGACGTGTGACTAGCTAAACCTCTGAACTTAACCTCAGCATTGCTCATCCGGTTTTCCCACCAAACTCGTGCAATGTGACGTAGACAGCGGTGTTCGAACACTAGCAATCTATTTTAACCCTGTTCTCGTAATGACCAAGTCTGCACATCATCATCATTATCATACAGCGATACAGAGAAGCGAACTTCACTGATTGCTGCCAAGCTTATCAAGTACACAAAATAATTGATAAACTACAAGATGAGGAAGGATTGGGTCTAATTGAAGGTCGGAAAGAGAAGTGAACCTCTATGGTTAACACAGAGTACACAGGCTAACTGTGCATGCATACCTTTCCAAGCATTCTGGCTTGATAAGAAAGGACAACAAGAACGCTACTATTGTCGATTGGCTGCCATATCCAACCAGCCAGTTGCATAGTCTTTCGGACCTCAACCTGGAAGACGGGGGACACCTATTCTACCCAATTGTTCTGTGCATTTCATTATGCCTCGTCTCCACGTCATCCGTTGACCTCCACGTGATTTCTTCTAACCTTGAGCCGAAACTGCGAATAGGGCGCGGTGCGGTAGACAATAGCTGGGCATGGGCAATACGTATCCTAACCAGTGAGGCTACGTGGAGGTCAACTGATGACGTGGAAGTGAGGCAAGAAGAAATGCACAGAGCGATTAGGTAGAATCAGTGTCTCCCGTCTTCCAGGTTGGGGTCCGAAAGACTGCAACTGGCTGGTTGGAGGCACTGAAAGATATGGCGACTAACCGACAGCAGTGGCGTTCTTGTTGTCATCTCCTATAAGATCAGAATGCTTGAAAAGGTATGTATGCACACTTAGATTGTGTACTCTATGTGTTGACCATAGAGGTTATTTTCCTTTGCCTCCCTCCAATTAGGCCCAATCCCTCTCCATCTTACGCGTTATCCCTTGATTTGTGTACTTTGTGAACCTGGCAGCGATCAATGAAGTTCGCTTCACTGCATCTCGCTGTAGGATGATGATGAGACGACGAATATCGTGCATGCGCAAATCAAGGGTCTCGCAACCATGAAGCAGAAGTGACTGAACACCGGCGCAATATACACGACCTTTCAGTTTCAACGAAACATCACGCCTGCACCAAAGGCGTTTCAGTCCTGCTTAAGCTGCTCGAGCATTGGAAATGCGGTCGGATACTTCCCTGACTATGTTACTATTATTTGTTACATAGCTACCTAAATAGGAGAAACATTCCAATATAGCGCCGGGGTAGACGATGCTCAATGTTGTAGTATCACTTTGCACTTTGAAGGTGCAAAGCTCAGTTCAGTTCTTACAACCATTAACTATGCACTTTCGTGCTGTCTTTTGGCTGGTCATTTGGATGAAAGAGCAGAATGAAGATTAGAATGCTGAAAGCAAATTCAAGGGAAAGATAGCGAATTTATATAGACTGATGTTACAAGATGCATGAGCGCCACTGTTTGCGACACCCAGCCATATCAGTGTCTCTAACAACTGATTACGCTGATCCCGAATTCCCCATCCCGGGAGCCTAATAGGATCTATGTGACCCAGACTCCTGGTTAGAGTTTTCATACCATCAAGCAAAGTCATAGCTTGACCACCCTTGGCTTTGTTCCATCCATTACGTGCCTCGGCGAACATCGCTCGTTATGGCAACCTATCTGGTGACATGCTTAACACATATCTCAAACAACGTCTATGTAGGTCAACTCCTGCTTCAGTGGGCGACCGCAGTTATCTAAAACTCTGCACCTAAACTCAGTATAGCTCGTCCAGATGCCCCACCAGATTCGTGCAATACTGCGTAGACAGCAGTGTTCAAACAACAACAGTTTATCTTTGTCCTGTTTTCTCAATGGCCAAGTTTCTGCGCCGTGTAGCAGAACTGGCCGAACTGCTGCAGCATACACTCGTCTCTTCACAAACAACCGGATGTCGCGACGACGCCACAGGTGTCTCAAGTTGGCAAATGTCAACCGAGTTTTCCGTATGCAAGCTGAGAGTCTGGGTGCCGGACCGATCCAATCTCGTAGTAACATTTTGCCACCTGGGAGTAAATCGATGCCACTTTCCCTGCACGAGGATGGGGCTGTTTCCATAATCAAATCTATAACAAACTTGAACAGAAAAGGAGAGAGAGCAACCCTGACGAACACCACTTTCTGTGGTGAACTCGGGTGAAAAAGTGCCGTAAGTCCGAACTCGACTTTGTCTCAACCACTTATCCATTTCCCCAGTTACAGTGAGTTTGAGTGCTGGACCAATCCAGTCTTTTAGTAGCATTTTACACTTAAAGGTGGCAAAATGCATACCGAACATGACTACGCTGTCACTCAAACTATCCAGAAAAGCTTGCAACTTACCTGCATCTTCAATTAGTAGCACAATGTCGTCTGCATACTCTAGAGCAGACAGTCTGTCATCTGAAAGTAAATCGATACCGCTATTCTCGCACGAGGATAGGGCTATTTCAAGAATTAAATCCATGACAAAGTTAAATAGAGACGGAGAGAGGGCAACCCTGTCGAACACCACTTTCTGTGGTGACCTCAGGCGAAAGAGTGCATTACGAAATAGGGCACCCTGAAGAACACTGCTGGTTTCGAACGATTTACTTAGCCCACAGAAGTATGCAGGTACAATGACCGCAATAGGTTTACATTTTCCGTGGCATTTCTTTCCGAAGCAGCAACCCCATAAGAGCTTCCCGGCAAACTGAATTGGAGGCTCCTTTCAGGTCAAAGAACACTGCGATCATTGGCCGACGATGTGTGACGCAATTTGAGGACTTGACGCAGAGTGAAGATTTGTTGGATGCAACCGCGACCTGGCCGGAATCCGGTTTGCTGTTCGCGAATATTCATTTCAAAAGTTCAATTCGTCGTGTCTATGGCAAATGAAGCGTGAAATGAAAATCTAGGAAGCAATGGACAGTTGTTTAGACCTGACTGGGCCTCATCAGCGGTGCGAATCCATCGATCCAACTGGGCATCGAACCCGGGACCTCATGGACAGAACACAAGCGTGTCACCCACTCGGTCACTGGGCACCCGATCAGACCGTTTTTCATTTTCCGTTTACACGATATAGGACAACTGTCGTTGTTCTTTATTGTGGATACTCCACTTTTACCGCAAGTGGTCTCACTGACCGGTATGCGACAACCTTCGGTGCTCCGTATCAGGTGAAACAGTTTTTGACTATCCCCTGATGCAAGACCTACCTCCTTTTCACTAGCTATTTTGGTCCACCAATTTTCGCGATCTTTCTTAAGGCTTTTCTTGAGCTGACGTTGCGGGCGCCATCGATCCCCATGCTGCTCTTGGCAGATTTCGATCTTTCGCTTTTGATCCATCAGGATTACTGATTCCTGAGAGATCCAATATCTTTGGCAAACTTCGGGATCGGTCCCACAAGCAAATTTTACTGCTGGGTGCATCGCAAATATAATTGGATCCCACTGTTGGT